TTTTTTTTTTTTTTTTTTTTTTTATTTATAGTGTGCACTGTTATTGCAAAGGTACAGTTTTATTTTTTGTTTCTTTTTTTTAATTTAAAGTATTATTGTAAATATTAGCTAAATATAATAATGCCATACATAATTTTAAATATACATATATATTTGTGCATAATTAAATGTAAAAAACACTAAAATTATTATTTTATTTCTATAAAAATATTTTTCAAAAATTATTATTCTTCATACAAAAGTTATAAAAAAAAAAAATAATAAAATTAAAAAACTATTATTCAAAATAAAAAAGAATATATAAAACTTATTGCAATTATCCTACTTACCATAATAATGAAGCTATTTACTTCAAAAAGATTAAATATTTTGTATAAATTCACTTATCTTTTTATATTTAAAAATATATTATTATTATTATTACTATTACTCATTTCTTAAAAAATTCATAAAACATATAAATTAAAAAATGTAAAAATGCTAATTGTATTATACATATCTTTATATCAATTTATATTTTATTGTATTCATATAACAAAACAATGAAAAAAAATAAGTGTATATATTAATATCTATATATTAAATTTTTATAAAAAAATTACAAAACATTTAGATATTTTACAAAGATATAATACACATTTATATATGTATTAAAATGGAGTTTATATTAAAAATTAACTAGAAAAATTATTAATGTATATATATTTTTATATTAATATTTCTTTTTCTTTTTTTATATATTATTTATTTTAACAACTTTAAAATACATAGAAAAAAAGATATAGATATAAGGTCCAATATAAAGGTCCAGATATAATTTTAAAAATAACAGTTTTAATAATATTTATTATAGTAAATATAGATATTCATAAATAATTAAAAAGTAAAAAATATATTATATATGTAGCATATTTAGAAGTAAAATATATATATTCACATAGTTTTAATTTTTTGAATTATAATTTTTAATATAAACACAAAAGTTATTTTTCTAATTTAATTTTATATTGTCATAAGATGAAAAACACACATACCTCAAAAAAAATAAAATAATAATTAGCAAAATAATACAAGGTAAAAATGAAAAGATAAAGAATATTTTTATTAATAAGTATATAATTATTACAACAGAACAACTACATATGTTTTCTATATAAATAAAAAAAAATATGAAAATATAAAGATTATATATATATAGCAAATATATAAAATACATAAAATATTAAATAATAAACTATGTCTACAATTTAAAGATAATATTACTTAGAAAATTATAAAAATATATATATATATTTACATATATTGATTATTGGTTATAGAAAAAAGAAAATATATACATAAAAAAATAAAAAAGGTATTTTTAAATTTATAATATGCAAAAAATTCTAAAGTATAGTTTTTCTTCTTTTTATATTATTCTATTCATTTTTATTATTCATATTCCTAATTTATTATTATATATACACATATATATATATATACATATATAAATATCCTACCAATTTTACTTTTTAAAGCTTAACCTTTTATTTTAAGAAATATTAAAATTTTCCTTGAAAAATAAAAACTCCGTTACATTAAAAATATATATTTTTACATAATTTTTAGTTTTATATTATATTTATAAATATTCATCAACTATTAATTTTGAATGAACAGCAAACATTCATCAAATAATTACAAAAAAAAAAAAAAAAAAAAAAAAAAG